TCAGGTTGTAGCCATTTAGTACGACCACTTCCCCCTTGGTTGCAGCGCTGCCTGTAGTCCTCAGAAGGCGTTGGTCTCGCTGGTAGTTTTCTCCCGCTCGATGTTTAAGATCTATTCTGAACTGTCGGTTGTGTTTCTTGTACTTATCGTTGGTGAACGCGATCAGTCCGTCACCTCCGATGTCCCATGGTTCTCCAATGTAGCGATGCACCTGGAGCCCGGTCTGCAGCCTGATGCTGATGATTTCTTTGGGCAATGGGGCTAATTCCCGAGGCATTTTCCGGGCATTTGATTTCTGAGACTTCTTCCTGGGACTGTCGGTTGTACCTCTCTCTTCATCTGTGTCGCCTCTCTCGTCATCCGAACTACTACCAGACTGCTGTCGTAGGGGAGCCGCCGGCTTCCTCTCCGTGCTGTATGCTTGTGGCTGGATCTCTCCCTTCCAGTCCCGTCGAGGAGACCATTCTTTCGCGGCTCCTGCCCTCTGTTTATCATTAAGGTCGGCAGCAAACGTCCTCCCCTCGATCCCCCATCTTGACAGTTCAGAGGGCCCTTGTCGTTCCCTTGAAGGCCCCGGTGGTTCTTGGTCTTCCTCATCGTCATCTTTTGTCAGGTCTATCAGGTCCCCTGACTCTGGCTTTCTTAGCGGCGACGGGTCACGGCTGGTCTTCTGGGGAGGGGGTTCGGACATGTCCGACTCCTCCAGGTCTAGCTCTCGTTTCTTTTCTCGATCCTTTCGGTAAGCTGCGAGTCTCTGCAGGACCTCATTACACTCGGCATAACGGGGTGTTCCTCGGACATCTGGGTTCACCAGGATCCCGTCTATACCGGCGGCTATTGTCGCCGTCTTCCCTATTCTGTCGTATTTTTCAGAAGGACTGTAGATGATTCGTAATTTGCCACCTGTCCATTCTTCTAGTAGGTTAGCAAACCATTCCAACCATTCTTTGACTTCTGTCTTTTTGGTAACCTTTTCCGGGCACTTGACGACCCCTAGGCGGTGACCATCTTTGAGCTGGGTGCAGTAGTAGACTTTCTGATGCCTTATTAGCGCTTCCATCATCCTCCTCCCAAGCTTCGGGTCATCTGAATAATGACCCCGTTCGAAGCTTCGCCGATTGATCGTGGTCCAAGTCTCTATTCCATCACTGCGTAGTATCAGCATCACTGGAAGCTGTTGCAGGACGGTCTGGGAGCGCAGGAGCTGTGCTTCTTCCTCTAGTCCGGTGACGCTTGTCTCCCGCTCTGTCGCTGACGCTTGCGGGGGTTCCAGTTCTCCTTCTTCTTCCTTTCCTTCATCCATGATTGTTTTTGTCTTCGAGCCGCCTTTCCCCCAAAGCCTCTCTTTAGCCTTCAAGCAGGGATGGGTTTAGGCTATTGGCTACTAGCTCTGCTCCTGGATACTCGAGATTATCCTCAGCTGAAGCTCTCCCTCACCTGCATGCCATACAGTTACTGCGAGGGCTGTGACTGACAGCCGGATCAGTCACCACTAACTCTATTCCTTAAGAGCTAGCCTCCAAGTGAGCTATTCAGATACTCGCCTCTCTGTTTTTACTGACTTGGTTAACGTAGGTCCTTCCTACTCATTTGAAATGGGCCCACCTCTTCTCAAGGGGCGGGAGCCCACCCAGGGACGCCATGTTCGTTATTCTGCAATAGCCAGCCACGCCTTAATCTCACCACCGACTGACTACTGACCAGCTCTCTGTCTAACAGGTCCGGAAAATCCCTGAAACCTGGGTCTTACCCAGAAATAGGTATACAGGAGATTCTCTGTTTAAACTGGTGGCGGAGAAAACTCGTCTAGCTCTAACTACCTTCAGATCCAGAAGTTACGGCCCTTTCCAGTTTAGAAACAGTCGGCAGAGTAGCCCTCGCTGCCGCATAGCTTCAACAACCACTCCTGTTAACGGTAGCTTTCCTCCTGAAAATAACGTGCACTTGTTATCGGCTAGATTGGATTTAGTGACTTAGATATAAGTCCCAGGGCCATTATTTACAGCTCGCCAAAGGAAAGTACGAAGCCACCAATTTCTAGAATCATGCATTTAGATTTTACTTATACCAGAAGAACCCTCATCAAACAGTGACTCAATTGAATTCAATGTCCACAACTTCTATTCTTATTTTTATTATATTTTATTAAGCAAGCTTTAGCAGGGGTAAATGACAATCAGATTTAGTAACGGAAATCATAAATTCGTAACAAGTATCAATCTCAAATCATAAAATTAACCATACCCTATCTTCGTTCTAATCCCTAACCTGCGTCACCAATCTCACTGAGCGAGGCTTTAGGGGCAGGGGAACTCACACCCGTTGTTAGTCGATCTTGGCAGCCGAAACCTTGAGACGTCCTTGGTTAGAGTCTCTGTCCTGGCGGGGCAAAGTTCTCTTTCGGAAAAGCAGCAAAGCCAATCTGTCCCATTTCTTTTAGACGAACAGAATCTTCATCACTTAGTGACCTTTGTCTTTTCCCCAAGTCTGCTGCAGTTGAATAGGGATCGTAGGGTGGAGGCAGAGGCGACGGTCGGATTCAGGGGCCAGGGCTGGGGGCTGACGGATCTTGTCCTTCTTTGCGGCGAGAAGTCTCAACTTTTCCCTTGGTCCCGGGGTGTGGTCCTCCGCTGATCTTTCGCCTGCGTCCTCTTGTTGACTCTCCTTCAGCGCCGCGGACTAAGAACGGTTTCCTCCCCAGCTCGCTGGCTTTTAAACTCTCTTGACCCACAGTTGTGTGTGGGAGAGGTCTCATGACTCATACTTTCCGAGTATCTCATCAGAAAGTATCTACCCAAACCTTGTTCCACCCTAAATTGGTAATACACAAACTTCCCTCTTTTGCGTCTCTCTCTTCTGTTGGCCATCTGGTAGTTATTACCTTTTTTGGCAATTTGTTCTGAGGCCCCCGCCTAGCCAGCTCAGCTTTTCCTGTATCCAACTCTACAGTCTTCTTATAATGTACCATGTAACACACTTAACTCAAAACACAATCAATTTGTTTTACCATTATCTGAAATCGTATATAACGACTAAGTTATTACTGTTACCACAGATCATGAATACAGATTATATATTTCAGTCATACATTACAGACATTGTGNACCTTGTGGACCCCTTTTCTCATTAATAGTACTGTTTTGCAGTGCAGTACTTGCTTCACACAATCCATTCCATTGAATTTCAGCTTGATCACCGATGTTGCAGGCTGATCTTGAGCTTTAATCCAAACTTTCTGCCCTGTTTTCAATGACACTGCAAACCGCAACTTCCCCTTTCCCTCTCTGGGCCAAAAGGAGAAGCGCCTTCGCCCTCCTGCTTTCCGTGACGTGAACGGAGTTTCTCTGCAGGGGAAGACCTACTCTTCTACAGCTGTCACTGTTACACCATGTCCATCAGCACCAAGAGGTACTCCTGACCTCTCTTTTCTGTTATCCATGGGGTCTGCTACATCCATGCAGACTGAAGCCCTGGGTAATGTGCTCTTTGATGAACACCCTTCCAACCGTTGCCCTCGGCGACCTGCGTTGTATTTTCCACACACTTCGCAGTCCCTCAGCACGCGTTGGACTTGTTTCACTGGGATCCAAAGTTCATGCTCTTCCAGCTCCTTACGGGTGGATCGCACGCCTGCATGTCCTAGGGCCCCATGTACGCTCCGCACGACCTCGTCCCCGTACTCTTCTGAGACCTCCCTTCCCTTGGGAGAACTGTCCCACTTCTCGATTCCAACAAATACAACCTTCCTTGGATTCACTCGAGTCCATGTCTCAAATCCCTCTCCACACAGAATCACTCTCACTGGGGCTGACTGGAACAGGGATCTAGACAGGGATCAATCTTCATCTTCTCTCCTGCTTGTCTTTGTGTTCGAGTCGCCTTTCCCCCAAAGCCTCTCTTTAGCCTTCAAGCAGGGATGGGTTTAGGCTATTGGCTACTGGCTTCTCGTCCGGATATTCGAATCTATCCTCAGCAGAAGCTCTCCCTCACCTGCATGCCATACAGTTACTGCGAGGGTTGTGACTGACAGCTGGATCAGCCACCACTAACTCTATTCCTTAAGAGCTAGCCTCCCAAGTGAGCTATTCAGATACTCGCCTCTGTTTTTACTGACTTGGTTAATGTAGGTCCTTCCTACTCATTTGAAATGGGCCCACCTCTTCTCAAGGGGCGTGGCCCCACCTCTTCTCAAGGGGCGGTGCCCCACGTTGGGCGCCACCTTGTTGTTGCACAACACCCCCCCCCCTTCTCTCTCTCTACTTCCTCTTCTGAGAGGAGGGAGATGTTGCTCCCAGCTCTCCGTCTAACGGGTGAATTGAGTTT